CAGCTACATTGGGCGTACAATCAGGCTGGTTCATCATCGTATTTTTGAACATCATTCAGTATGGTTAAGCATGCGACAAACAATATCTATTCGTAGCTGTATTTTAGCCCACCTCGTTGATACTGAGCATAAGATTGATGTGAATACTGCATTTAAAATTATTTATCGCATTCCTACTAATCTTAATTTTGCTCTACGAGTTCGTCTTCTTCAGACAGCGGAAGCAATAGGAATCCACCTGAAGAAGCCAAACCTGTGTGTTTACAAGAAATTTGTACAGCCACTTTCCTTTCCTTGGCCATCGTTACATGAATGTATAAACCGGACTACTTCGCCCCCCCTCCCCGTAAATTTTTAAAATTATAAAAATTATAATTGTCCAAATTATTCTATCTTATTTTTTATTTATTTTGACCACTTCATCTTTAATTACGTGTTATCCTTGTAGAATTAAATTAATTATTTCTAACCATTTCTACCTTTTAAATGTGTTAAATGTTTATCTTCCTTAATTATTAATTAACCCATTGACATTTTGACACTGACTAATTATTGTTAACAAACATATCACTTGGTGCCACTTGGTGATTGGTAAACTGTTGTGTATTGTAATAAAAATGCTATACGTGTATATTAGAGTAGAGTAGGGTAGAGTAGAGTAGAGTAGAGTAGAGTAGAGCCAGAGTGAGATGAGGATCTAATTGAAAAGTGAATATTTCTTCGCTGCTCAATCTTTCTGTTGTCTAAATATCTAAATGGGGATTTTTTCTATAATAATAATAAATAATAATAATAATGTCTGCCTTATTTTTTTTAGTAAACCAGTTACTGTCTAATTCAATTTCTTTCTTTTTTTATTTTTTTGTTTCTCTTTTCTGTATAGTTTACATGAAAATAAAGCTAAAGGTACTTTAAGTATATTTAAACGTGAACGATGCATTGAAAGCTCATCGTATACACTGGATGAATATGAGAATAAACTGAGTGATTCGTCATTACAACAACAAACTCTTCCAAATCGATCAAGTTGTTTTACTGACAATTCTGTATTATTCAGCATACCTAAACACGATGACAGTAATAATATTAATAATGAAGTAGTTGAATTACAACATCAGAAGATGGTGGATGATACATCAGCTGGAAGTGATTATTATAGTTATCATCCTAGTAATTCAATTAATAAGCATAATAGTGACAATGATGATGGTGGTGGTGATGGCGCAAAGAATATTGACAATGATAAAGTAGTGCTACTACAGAATACAATCAAATCTGGTAATGGGAAACAATCAACCAATTCAGTTGTTAATGTGATTAATTGTGATAATGAAATTGGTGAGAATACGTCAATTATATCATCATCATCATCGTCGTCGTCGTCGACCGCAACATTCGAAGGTCAACAGCCACCGCCACCTCCAGAACAACAACAACAACAACAATCGAAACAACAAAAAGAACAACATTCTATGCCACTTATAACAATTGCTTAGATTGAATTCAATGGAATCAATGCTATTTTTGTTTGTTTGAGTGGATTCCTGAATAGATCTTAGTTTTGTACATAGATATATCATTGTGTGTGTTTGTGTGTGTGCGTATACTTATTCTGTTGCCTTTGTTAAACACATTTGACGGTTGAATACTGACTTCTTAGTCGTAGATTAGTCGTTTAGCTCTGTGGATTCATCGCAATCTGATCACACACACACGCACACACACAGGTGTCTTGTTCACCTGCTCACTTGACTGATTACAGATTAATCGGCATAACTACTCCATCTAATATATATATACGAATTTGAACTACCATTATTTTATCTCCGTCTTTATTCTTCTGTTTCTATGCACGAAAATCTCCTTGTTGTTCCTCTTGACGTATGTACCCTAATAATATTCTTAGTAAATGAATACTACTGGGCGTGTAATTCAGAGAAATGTACTCACATCTCGTAAAAGTTGTTATATTCTGTTGTTGTTGTTGTTCTGCTTTTTCCTCCTAATTTTATCGAAAAGTGACAACAACAACAACAGCGACAACAACCAATTTCAATTGATATACACCATATATCATTTCTTACATTTTCTTAATCTTTCCACTTTGTTAGTTTCTTTGTTCCTTTTTTTGTTTCCACCACTTTCAGTAGTCTCATTGAATTCGATTTCATTTCACACAAGTGTTAGTGTGTGTGTATGTGTGTGGGGGGGTGGGGTGGGATTCTCCAACTTCATGGATAGAACTTAAGCCAGAAAACTGTCTTGAGCGTCATATACATGCATACATCACTTTTTTGGAATCCATGTTTAAACTTATTTTATCCTTTTGCATACACATTGATAGTTGAAAGCAAAGGCAGTGTGTGGGGAGGGGATAGGTGGGAAAATTAGCTAACGTCACATGTAAATTTCAGTGTTTCTGTTTCTTTTCTCCTAGTTTTTCCTCCATTGGCTTACACAATATTCGCTTTCATTTTGTACTCAAAATTTGATGAGTTTCATCGATTGTTGTTTTATTTTTCTATTAAGTAGCACTTGTAACGTCAAAAGTGACCGAATAGTAATAAAATATTCTCTAGTGATACTATCATTATCACTACTATAAATACATAAATATTTTCATGTGGTTGCGTTCTCTGTATTCGCTTGAGATCCCTGTCTTCTCTGCTCCTCTTGTCAACATGTTCATTTTCATTCATACATCTTCGAACGTGTGGGTGTGTGTGTGTGGCAAATTAGGCGTGAGTCAGCTGCAAAATCTGTGCCTTCTAAGGTGTTCTTCTCTTTATATCTTGAAACATCATCCCGGCTGAATCAGTTCTCCGAAGCAGATTTTTGCAAACCTGTACATGACCCAAGTCGCCACACTTCATAAGCGATACTCAAACATAATATTGCAGTTATTACTATGATTTTTTATTATTCCCTTGTGTTTCGAGTGGAACATAAAGCTTCAACGGCACATCTCCATTTCATCCTGTTCTCCGAAGTCCTCTTCAGGTGGCTCCACGATTGTCCAAGGGTTGTCATCACCTCCTCCACGTCACTCTCGAATGACCAACACGTCGTTTCCCTCTTGAGTTGCGATCGTGGGTGGGTCTGCCAACCGGTCGTCTCCGTGTGTTTCCAATCCATCTGTATTTCCTTTGGCATATCTGTTGAGTAGAAGTTTCTTGGTTGATTCGTTACCAAAGTTCCTTGTTGCTAGTTATTTCTGACCATCTGATACTCAGTTTCAGGACAGTGAAGGCGGATATTGATGAAAATCTTCAGCAGACTGTTGGAAATGCTTTCCGTGATGCGCTAAGTCTCCGTGCTGTCTGTAGTTGAAACGATGCTGCCTAAGTAAGTGGAAGAAGTGGCCTCGTTTAAATTTCTTCCGTCGATAGTGACTGATGCCTGTTATTGTTGTTGGTTGGTTGGTCGTGTTCATCACCTCCACCTTCGCTATGTTTACTTACAGTTGTGTCTTTCCTTCCGGCTTCCTCTGCCAACTTGTTGGTTTTCCCCTGTAAATAATCGAATTTGTGTGACGTTAAACATAAGTCGTCCGCCAAATCCACATCTTCTAGAGTCTCCTTGTCAGTCTAATATATTCTTCTCGCTCCACACAGTCTCCCACATACTCCAGTCCACCACGATTAGGAATATCGTCGATGAAAGTAGCCAGCATTGTCTTCCTCCTCTCTTCACTTCATACGCTCATGTTATCGATCACCTGAGGTGTGCGTTATTATGTAAATATCGGATGAGGGCGATAAACGAAGGATACGGGCGCTCCGTATAGTTGAACTAGTTTCCAAACTGCCTTGCGATCAACGCTGTCGGAGCCATTTTCAAAGTCGGTGGGACTGGGATAGAGATTTGACTTCCACTTTATGCTCAGTTCCATGGTGATGTGTGGAGTTTCAATTCGATCTGCGTATGATTCGCCTTTCTTGAATCCAGATTGTCCGGGGCGGAGTTCCGCATGCAAAGCATCTTTCAGTCTCTCCAGGATAACGTGACTTAATAATCGCTTAGCGCGTATAGGAACATAATTCCACACTAGTTTTAGCATAGGCCTATGTCACCCTTCTTTGGTAGCCTGACAAGATAGCCTTTCTTCCAATCAGCAGGGACGTTTCCTTCCAAACTTACTGTAATAGGGGCGTGAGGATGGTGACTGAGGTCTCTGGGTCCGTTTTCAGTGCTTCCGGGGTAATCCCTTGTGGTTCTGCCGCTTTTTCCACTGCCTTCCAGTAATTTTATGACACTGGAAACTTCTGCTTTTGTCGAGAGATTGGTGTTTACTGACATTTTTGTGTACGAGTTATAGGTGATGTTGGGTTTGACAGTCCTTTGAAATGATCAGTCTATTTTTTTAATTTCTATCTACTTATTGCTGATTAGGTCTCTTCTCTGTGAGTTCAATTTATGATCCAATGTCTAGCCTTGTAATTGATTCATAATTCAGTGGTTACAAATGCGTCTTTGTATTGAATATACCATGTTTGATGATGCTGCGAAAGTTCGATTGTTTTAACGAAAACTTGGTTCTGTCGAGCACAACAAATATTTTAATTTCATTCTGCTAAAGAATTCACGTGAATTGTCATTCGATGATACAGTCACCATTTTATCTCAAATGTTCGGTGAACAATCATCCATGTTCAGTATTGAGTACTAATGTCGTCAGTAGCCAAAATAACATCCCGACGATTATGTCACTTATGTGAAAGATTTAAATCACATGTGATGACGAATAAAACAGCATCTAATGTTGAGTGAAGAATGCTTTAGGCTAGAAACTTTGGGGAATTATTTACCATTACAGTAACAAGGAGTAATTGCAACGTTTCTTCTTTTTTGGGTTGAAGAGTTATTTTAGCGTAAAATTCCGTCCACTGGCTAGAAATGTAATAGTATAATAGAAAGCCGCACGCATAGAATATTCGGATTAGTCTCCTTTACAGTATGTTTGCCAATCTGATAGTTTAATTATTTGTTGGAACGGCAATATGAGTTCTCAAACAGGTCCGAATAATTTTTACAATAGCAACCACGAAGTCACAGAGAAAAACAACAAAACTTGTGAAAACACGGGTGTACATTTTTATGGGCTCTATGGAAAAGTTGCATTTTGCGAAGCTTCCCCCAAGAAAGTAACATTAGAGGTCAGTTGAATAACAACAAGTTATTTCGTGAACTTTCTTTTCAATTCCCATACTTAATACCCCACCTTGGTGTCTACGGATCTCGTTATAGCCTTCTCCTACATCACCTCCTAGGACTTGTCATTTCTCCACTTCCTTGTAAACGCTTTTATCTCATGAGAATAATGAATAGAAACTTATCTAATTTAGGATAAGACGTCATGTCAATCATGTGTTTATCACTTCCACATGCGTTTGGCCGGACTATCTAGTGAGTATGCATGGGCTGATATTACTCATCGATTACTTATTAAAACAGGAATTGTTGAAGTGCAATGTAATCCAAATGCTTATAAAACTTATAAATTCTTATCAACTCAGATCAAGTATCTAACATACCATTTAATAATCTCTCAGCGGTAAGATTGTCATTATAGCACAAGAAATATGTGTAAACTACATTCAATCTCCTTTTCATCTCTAATCATGTTAGTGAGCAACCAGTTAAAAATTAATTTCTCTTGGTGATAAGTACATTGAAATCATATCATCGAGTAATATTAGAATGACATCTTTTATCTATTGATGTGGGGGTTTCCTACTCTTATTTAAAAGGACTGAAACAATGACTGATTTTATAATATCTGTTAACTATGTATCTCAAGTCTGTGTACTTCGTTTCGGGCTGAAATATATAAAAATGGAGCCTAAGAGTTTTGGCAGATGGATATGCTTAGTTTGGATCAAGATGATGATATGTATGCAACTTGATGTATATGATTTCATATGATATCATCCCATCTATACGGCTACTGATTCTTGAATATATATATATACATAGATCAATTGGTAAGCAAGGGCGACTTTCATCACTCTAAAATCAGTTTGGAAATTTGCTGCATTCAGCATAAAGAACAAAATTCGAATTTTCAGAGACTTGGCGTGTCATGCATGGCATTCCTAAGGGTTTACTTCAGACTTTCATGAACACCGGCCTTCGCTATCCAGAAACTTAAAATCAGATGACCACCAGAAAGGATAAGCAACAAGGAAATCTGGCACCAAACAATCAATCAGAAAATATTCCTAGTGAAATGGAGATGGACACACATTGGGTAGACCGCTGAGTATCATCACACCCCACATACTCCAGTGGATGAGAACGGATGAGAAATAACGAGATGGGCGTGTGTGGAGAAAATGAAAGCGTTTGGGTAATTGGGGAACCGCCTGAAGAGGACTACAGAGAACAGGATGAAATGGAGTTGTGTTGCTGACACTCTGTGTCTCACTCGAAACCCGAAGGAATAATAATAATAATAATATTGTAAGATATTGTCAACAGAGACAATTTATGCATAGCTAATCTCCTGGTGTATTATTATTTCACTTCAGCAAGCTGAGTTCTAAAGAATTGTCTGCCTATCCTTCACTGGCCTGTGGGGATACTAGGTAGTTACTACTACTAAGTCGAGTGATAGGACACTGATATAAACCGATGTACTGCACTACTGTTTCTTTGTATACGTTATTCTCGTATTTTTTCTATACAGCAGGGTGGTTCAGAAATGGATCACTTCTTTGAATATAACTTTTATGTAGATACCATGCTACGTGAAATTTTAACCTATGCTGGCAGCAGACGTATTCTGTTATCATGCTTTGATCCGAATGTATCTGTGATGTGAGTTATGCATCTTAATATATGCATGGTGGTAATATAAATTAACAGTCAATAACTTATTCATATATATATATATATATACTAACCTAAAGCTTCTGCAGATTTTGTGGACGTTCATAAACAAGCATTTCACTAGGGAGATTTTTGATGGATGTTTAACAAAACTGCTGAAGTGAAAATACTGTTCACCTCATGTCAACTTGTGAGATATTGATCTCTTATTCGTTCCGTTGTCACACCCAGTTATATCCAAGGGATCAGATTTGTTATTGAACTCAATTTTTGGAATAAACACATTAAATATTTAGAACACATCTTTTCTGAGACAATTTTCTTTTCTGCAAAGTCATTAACTAAGATGTACATACTTGCGTACATAGTAAATGCATGGGAATGTTCTCTACCTGTTCCGGTTCCCCTTGTATCTCTTCAGGGAAAACCAGAAGCCTATACAGGGAACTATATACCCGCACTTGTAAGTACAAAAACACATCCATACCCTACTTAGCTCGTGTTCTGTGCGATAAAGAAAGCATTAGGCGTGAAACCTTTAACTTATTAAATGGTCAGTAGAACAATTGAATCTCGTCTTTCCAACTCACATAATTTATAGTAGGTACAACGTTTTCTCTCTTTTCCTTTCTCTCTACCTTTTGTTTTGTCTTTATTTTTGTTATGTGCTGTTTTGTTTCTCTCTTCCTTACAAACTCTACTTAAAACACTCTTGTTCGTTCTTTCACACTCTGTATACCTCGATCATTTTGTTACCGCTTACGCCAGTAAATATGCTAGCGTCTACTTTTCTAACACCCTCAAACACTCTGTTTAACTTTGGCTTTGCTACCGACATGCTAATATGTTGTTATCAAAACTAACTGAGATAACCCTAATTTATGTAGAACTTTATTTATTGATAATGTACTAACTGGATGCAATATTGTAGTAAAATGCTGAGAATTCCATTCTGTATCACAAGTACTGTTTTGGAATAAAGCTATTATCTTATCTTATCTTATGAAATTACAAAATAGGAAATGAAATAATAAGCAGGAGGATGGGATAAAAAATATTGTAGGTTCAAAGTTACTGAGAAAATTGACTTTTTGTGCGATTGGGGATTAAAAGAATATGCATGTGATTCGGTAACAGATCATCCGTTGAACTCAGGACATCCGACTCCATTTGAAAACTCCTTCGAACTCATACAGGATCTGATCAAATGTCTTAAAAGAAGTGAAGTCAAGGCATCGAAGCATATCTGAGGCACTAGTGATGCAAACGTTCAAGCTCACGCTATACATCCAAAAGTAATAAGTTTACAATTTAATCCCTATATGCAATTTCATTAATATGACTCTTGCCTGGAAATAGTTCTGGAGCATTCTGACCCATTTACCATAAACACATGAATGTACAGCCTACTTGACGACTTTATCGAAAGGAAATTTTCTTAGCTCTTCAAACGTCGTTTTGATTCAAATTCTGAAGTCACTCGAGTATTTGGATGTATATGCTTGAATGAAGTTGTCTCCAATAAAGAAAGACATCTTCCACATAATATATACAATGCATTAAGTTTCCCAGCATAAATTCTCGAACTTCGACATAAATACGCCTGCTAACAACAGGGGCTAGAAGGGCTTTCTAACTCGACATCATCAATTTGTATGTTTTTTCTTGCAAATTGAATGTGACCTTCGGTTCATCAAACATACATAGCGGGAAAGTTTTGTTTCCTGTGTCATCTTAAATATGACGGGATTTATTAGGTATTACTGGTCTCTTCCTTATGTTATGTTATGTTATCAAAATAGTCCATGGAATGCATAAATCTCAAAGTGGGTGTGAAAATAATAAGAGTAACAGGCAATTAAAACATCACGCAACCAGGTGATAATTATGGTAAATCAATATTTCAAGGAATTCTATTGAATTTAATGAATTAAGCTGACGAGAGAGATTATACCGGAAGTTGTTCGAAGTGAAATTAATATTAACAATCGACATAATATTGGAAAGATCTGCAAATTGAATAAACGAAACGAGAAATAAATAGGATCAAGTCATGAATGGGGAGCAAGTGAATTGATAAACGCACATAGATTGGGTCAACTGTGGGATCTTGTCCTTCAGGCTGCTGAATAGCAATGGCCGACCAGAGAATGCACTAATTATTCACACATTTCTCTTCCTTTTTATAGGCTTCAATTGAAACAAAATTTATATCCAGTCTTTCAACTTGGCATATCGCCAGAATATGCAGATACACGACGTAATGATTTTGAGCATTTATTCTTCTCTGCGTTAAGTCATCAACTCATGGTAAATTTGATTTAATTTTAAGCGTGCTTTTATTGTTGTTTCCGTAGTGTTGTTTGTATCATGTTGAATGGGGATGCAACGATCTTATTTTAATGTATCTTTTTTTACTAATGAAGTTGTATACTACTGTTTAAAGTTTTAAGTAGGCAAAAAGTGGCCAATAAGAAACATTTATTCATCTTTTCATTTTTATTTTATTTTTTATTTTTTTTATTACAGCTTGATCACACTGTATTTTTGGTGCAGGTATGGAATTTTCAGCGTGGATATCGGTAGCCCAAATTTCCCAGGCCGACCATAGATATCAGGTGTGCGCCGGTGTGGGCTCGAACCCCGGACCATGTGCATGGTTGGCGAGGGTCCTAACCACTGTGCCACCAACGCACAGGGAATTACAATTTTATTTCTTAGTTTGTCGCTTTGCATCGCACAAGTGTGCAATAGGTAAACAACGATTTGTGATAAGTTTTCAGTAGTGAAAGTGTTACCTCACAATGTTATTCTAATAAAAAATTTTTCCTCTGTCGAATTAACACTCTCCGATAACCGTTGGTTATGTATTCGTTGTATTACGAATTAAAAGAAATCTATACATGTTATATAACATTAGATCACAAAGCCATAGATGGTTTTGGGATTGGTGTTCATATTACTTCAAAATCCTAAGCTGTAGTGTTTATATAGCTAAGTATGTTCCGAAATACTACAAAGGATATTTCAATTTCCCCAGTCTCTTATTAATTTTGTTATCACTTTATAACCTAATTTACTTTAAAATCACGTACTTCACTGCCTCTGTTCTACCAATATTTTGAATAAAAGGCTGAGACAGAGACAGAGGTGCCATAGACAGCTTTTTCTTCTAAGTCACTCCAGATTTTCATCTCCCTGATGAAATTATCTATTTCTAATTCACTTTTAGTGCGTCGGTGGCACAGCATTAAGCCACTGGGACCCGATCCAATGTTCAACGAGCTCGCCTTGTAACCAGAAGGTCTTGGGTTTGAACCCCGCT